CGCAGCGCGCGGGGCCGGGCGGGCGCGTCGCGGGAGGCCGGGCAGCGGCAGGGGCATGTGGATACTGGCCCTCTCCTTGTTCCAGAGCTTCGCGAATGGTGAGCGGCCGCGGCCTTGCAGGGGTCGTGATGAATTTAATTTCTTTTAATTGACCGGAGTGGGGGTTGGGTGGTTGGCGCTTGGATGCATGAATGAAGTCTTTCCCTTTTCCTGCCCTCTGTGTGCTTAAATTTTTATGCTTTTATTTTTTCCATATTATTATTTTGTCTTTTGGGAGGAGAGGAGGCAATGAAGAGAGGCTGGGGGAGAAATTGCTCTGTAATCATTCAAAGGAGCTTACCTAGCAAAGTGACAGCTAGGCGCCTAACTCCAGTACCAGACAGCTGGCTACCTCATTCAGAATAAGCCAGGCTGGATGAAGAGAGGCGAGGCGAGGCACGATCGGCCCTTTAACGAATAACAGCCAGAAACGGACATGGCATTCCTGGGGTGGGCAGGTGGAGTGGTCAGTTAAAGGCTTTCACCTTTAAATTAAGAGCTTTTTGAGCCTTTAAAACATGTGCTTTAATTCTGCTACAATCCTCTCAGGCAGTAAGGAAGCCTTTTGGAAAGGTCTGCCCTTCCGTCTCCCCCCACCCTGCCCTGAGTACTATAGATTCCTCACAGTCATTTATGTAAAAATATGCACTGAGCAGCATTACATCATCTGAAATGTTGACAAATTAAACACACACACACACCTGTGTAGTTATAAAAATGAAATCAGTGGATATTGTAGATAGCATTTCTTTTCTCGTGCCTATCTAATATCCTATTTGGAAGCCTTTTCTTCCTGGGTGTTTAAAAAGCGATTGCTTTTGACAGTGAGACCCAATTAGGAAGTGTGACTGCACCTCGGGTTGCTTGTCAGGGCGTAAATATAAACTTACATATGTGAATGGCTTCTTCTCGCGTATGGGAACGGAAGGAAATTGTCGTCATTTGGCAATGCCTGGGAGTAGCTGTAGCTTAAATTCCCATTTCAAATTTCTAAACCCAAATCTGAATAAAATGCATTACCTGCTTACAGTTCGAATTAAACCATTAAGTAGAATCCCCTACCCAGAACAGAGAGAGAGGGAAAGAGAGAAGGGGAAATCTCGCCCTTGTGAGAAAATATGAGAAGCAAAGGGGGAGGCTGGAAGATCTTCCTGGAAGATACACACGGAGGTCTGAGTGTTAGCTGCATCTGAGTGCATTTTCTTTGCCTACCTAGACAGTACTTGAAGAATCAACACATCGACAGGCAAGAGGAAATGCATAAACTTTGTATAGTTAAGGGGGAAAAAAAAGATGGCCGAGAAAGGTAGCATTGAAAGAAGGAACTCGTGAAATTAACTTGAAAAATGATGCTTTGCTCTATAATATAACCTAAAGCAAAGTGTTCAAAACTTTCATTTTGAGATTTCCTGGCAGGGAAACATTACAAGTTCTGACATGACACCTATCTTTCCCAGAGGGCACTGTACCTCTTCTGCATCCTCCAGGGGTTTACCTGGAGGGATAGATCTGCTGTAGATAATCTGCGGGGACGCAGCAGGCAGGTCTGTCCTTTCTGCTGCTCTGCTAATGTGAACTCAGGGGAAGCGTTAAAATGCTCACATATGTGCCCCAGTGCCACACCACCTCCGTGGCCTGGCTAGCCTGTCAGGGCATCCATCTCTGGGCTCCGTGAGAAAGCCCTGGATTTCAGAATGAGCAAAAATTCCATAAATTGGGAAGGCTGTGTTTTAGGGTGCGTCTGTGGGTCAGCCAACTAGTATCTATTTTATAGTTTAATAGTAATAAGTGATAAAAATAGTATGGAAGAATTTCTGATATAGTTTCATCCTGTCTGATACAGAGATGCCATGTATGTGTATGTATGCATATGTGTATACGTATATTCGGTATATATATGTAGGTGTGTATCTGTATATTTATGAGTTTTGATATATATATGCATGATTTTTCAAGTCAGCATTCCATACCTAAAATAAACAATCATATGTAATGAATCATATATAATGACAAAATTGTATAAAACCTCCAATATTCCTCTTCTCTGTGGAAGTATAATTCCGAGAACGTGTATGCATACTTACACTGTGTCCTGTGAGTATTTTCTTCTTATTCCTTCTCCGAGACCTTTTCAATCTATTGCTGAGAGTCCCCGTCAGCGTTATTTTAATGAACACAGGTAGACTGCGCACTCTGAGCCGTAGACAGCACACACACAAATGGATATTTTGTATTGCTGTATTTTGTGTTCTGATCCTATCAGCCGGAAGGCAATGGAACTCTCTTATGTAAAAATGGCCCTCTCGTTATATGACCAAGCGTTTAAAAAAAAAAAGAAGCCTGACTGTGAAGCTTTGAGCTCTTTCATTTTTGTGGGAACCAGCTTGAAAGAGTTTTTCAAGAAAAGGTGTTCAATGCATGTTGTGCAAAGGATCATCAAATAAACACTCATGTCAGAATAAAACAAGAGCCCAGTTTGGAAGGCTGCCTGTTCATAAGACCACATTTCAAAAATGTGATATTCAATGGTTCCTACCTATCAGAATAAGACTTAAAAAAAATGGAGAAATAATGTATTTCTTCTCAACAACTGTCATAGTTTGGACTACCTTCATTTTGAAAAATCCCTGAATGTGTGTGATAAAGCATTTACAAATTCTAATACCTAAGGTGATGATTGCTGGGCCTCAAACACCAAATACCTGACATGATGAAAAAAAAAATTCCACTTATAAAAGATTATGCAGTTTGATATTTTGGGGTGCTCATAAAACAAGGAGCTGATGGTATGTCTGCATTTGAACACTAGATAATAGCATTGTTCCAGTTGTTGCAATGAAATGTATACTTATTTATTAATGAAAGCATGGCTGTTGGAAAGGATATGGGCAGTATTTTGGGCAAAAAATAGAATTCAGAAACCAGTCTTTTCATGAGTTAAACCCTTGAATGAATTGCCTCATCTGATCAGGTGCAGTAATTGTGTTAATAAGCAGTCAGTTTGTTCTGCAACGTTCTGGAAACACACGAGAGCTTCCTCTATAAGGAAACGGGTACATGTATGTGCAGACACACATCCATACACACATCCCCCAATGTATCCTACTGCATCATATTTTCTCATGGTGTTGACCCTGATGAGCACCTTCTAGGTTAAATTGGTATTAAAGTCATAGGTAGACCTCCAGATAAGCAGAATAAAGTATAGTAAGCAGACTTATTAGATGCAATTTATTTTTGTTAGTGCCTTTGTATCTCTGTTTTTATATGCACAACCATGTCCCCCGGCATGGTCTTTTCATGGGCCGTGGAATCTTGAGCTTTTCTGCTTCGCTGCTTTCGGGGGCCCAAGTTGAATGACGATTAGAGTGGACGGGTGGCAATGCTAGTGAGAAAGCTGCTCATCAGAGAGAAAGTGGGGTGTGCAGCATCTTTGGGGGCACCATCGGCTCATCTCAGCTGGGAATTTCAGCCCAGAAGCTTGGCATTTTATTGAAATGTAAAAGCAGACCTTTGTACGTACAAATGCAACCTGAGGGCTTTTAAGGCAATGTTTCTTTAACTCAGGTAACCATATGTAAGTAAAAAATGCCATCAGGTGAATAACTTCATGATATCCTTTCCTTGTCTCCCTTCTCCATCTTTATGAGGAAGATTAAAATTCTGTCCCAGGATTTCAGGGTTCATCTTAAATTTCCAAGGCCTCGAAAAGTAAGCTAGATGCCATGACAAGATGCCCTCTGAAGGAAAACAAAATGCCAGGGAAACCTTTAGTAAATGTCAGTAGTCCTCCGCTCCTTGCCTTTCTCCTGGATGCCACTTTGGTGTGACCATGGTTCACTGCTGCCTCAGGGAATCAGGGAATCACCAGGCAGATCTTGTATGATACAGCCTGGTGGCAGGGGAAGGAATTTTGACTTAAAAAAAAAAAATCGTCAGTCAGAATCCCTAATTCCTAGACTTTGAGGTTCACACGTCCATGTAGCTGCAAATATTATTTTAGCACAGATATGTCCAGGGTAAGGTGCACTGAGTATTTTGGAAAGAGAGTTAATTCAGTGTGCATTGAAACTCAATGTAAAGGGTAGGGGGAGAGATGTTGGTAGAGGTAGAGAGAGGGGGGAAGGTCCTTTTATAAAGAGAGACCTGCAGGAGATTGGAAATTCACGCTTGAAAATAAAATGATCCATGTCCCAATGGGTGCGTTTACAAAATCCATGGCATCCAAATTCCTTTCTCAAAGTTAGCTGAATTCTACAAGTGAGATTAGGAACGTGTCTGATAAATAATTAATAGGTAGGGAAAATCATCAATGGTGCACTAGGCAGAATGTTCAATGGCATTGTCAGCGACGAGCATCCCTGTTCGTGGTTTTCACGTATGTTTGAAATACATAGGAAGCGCGGTGGAAGAGCCTTGGCCGTGTACATACAAACAAGTGTGTCTGGCCGTATTCTTGGCTGCTGTGCGAAGGGCATGCCGGGCCTGGGTGACCTGCTCTATCAGCCTGGGAGATGGTGAGGTACTTACCTGCATGTCAATTGTGTCCCCGTCATAGGACGCTAGTGGGCAGCAAACCTCACAAGACATTTAGCAAGCCTTCAGCAGAGTGGGCAGAATCAGCCGCCTCTGAAGGAAGACTGCTATATGCAGCTTTTCAGGGGCTTTCCTCAGAAGATGTGTCAGGATGTTTCTCAAGTTCATGGTGCCCAGATTCCTGTGTCATTGGCAGGAACAATGCAAAGGCGTAGCAGGTGATGGAGGGGCTGGCAGTCTTTGTTGTCAGTTTTACAAGGACAACCATGCTCTCAGGAAATATTTTGCAATCCAGAAGGTGTACAGGGAGGAAGAAGAGGTGGCATGGGACTGGTGGTGCACCTAGCAGAAGGGTACATTTGCATACCCCCTTCCCAACTGACTGGGGGCCTGGACCTCTTAGCAAGTGTGCATGCCTCGGCTCCAGGACCAGCCCCGCGCAGGATTGGCTGACCTTCCAGTGTCATTCCTGGAGGCTCTGCTTCTCCTCCACCTGATGGGGCCCGGGTGATGCCGATGCTCG